TAATACATCAATATGATCAACAATAAATGTTTTGGTTTGGTTGGTGTATAAACGGAGTTCTTTATATTAATGCCGCTGTGTTTGTTTGAATTAGGAAACAGAGGCACAGCTTTGAAAATGGCTAAGAATCTATTTTATTGTGGAGCAGACAGAATTTGTCCCGGGTACAGCGATGTTGTTGTTGTTGTCCTTACGTCCGTCCCATTCTTGTGAACACGAAATCTCAAGAGCGCCTCACGGGAAATTCTTCAAATATGTTCCAACTGTTCATTTGGATTCAAAGAAGAATGATAATTATAATTCAGAGGTCGGAGATCCAGGTTTATATATATCAAGATTATATTCAGGTGGTCAAACATCATGACGACCAAATGAAGCATGTTGTTGGCCTCTTGAACATATCAGACGTCTGCCCTCAGGGAATTTATTCAAGTTTTCAGCAGCTGTTACTTGGACGTGAAGATTAATGATCAGATGTAGTGACCAAAGGTCAAAGGTCAAAGTGACCTCATACGAGTGTGGAAGAAAAAATAGACAATCTATAGACTGAAGCTGCTCTAGTAAATAACTCCACAGTGGAAATTCTAGTTCTGTTATGATGAGTATTTGAAGAATCCAGAAGAAGCGGTTAGTTCACTAATATTTACTCCAGTTTCTAAAGTGTGCTGCTGTGTCGTGTTCAGTGTTTATTGCTGAACTGTCTGTGACCCCACGTGTCGTCACTCGTGTCGCTAAGTTGTTCAACGTTGTGCCGACCCTGCAAATCACTTTTGGAGAAATGAGAGACAACAATGAAACAATGAGATGCAGAAAATACAGATTTCAGTTTAAATCCACTTTAAGGAGAGAAATTAGAAACAGCTATGCACAGCAAAAATGCAGTAATTACAGGCACGAATAATAATGATATCTTCAAACTGTCCAAAAGTATTTAAAAACTGCATAATATGAAACCTCAAGGAGAAGGAGGAGGACAATTAGCACGTGATAATTAATGTGTGAACACTGGCAGTGCTGGAGAGGGGGAGAATTAAGAAACCAGAAAAGAATCCGTGGACTGAGGGTCACATCTGAGCTGAGGGAGAAACTCCGTCCAAACCTCTGGGACTTGACAAAAGCAGAGAACGTCTTCTAGTAGGTGACTATGTCCAACTCCCAGGAGCACACGATAAATCAACAACTCCATCACAACATCTAATCAGGGAACGCAGCACGATGTCGTTGGATCAGAACCGAGCTTGTGCTCTTTTTTTTTTTGCTCATGTCAATTCACATATTATCACATATCTGAATCACAATGTTTGAACAATTTGAACATACGACTGTTATAATAAAGATTCATTACACTTTGCTTTAATAGAATCATGAGGTTCATGTCTCATTTTTGTTAATTTGAATAAAGATTCTGTGACCATGGAACGAAGCAACTGTTTTTTGATCTGCTCCTCATCCTCTGTTCCTTTTTTTTTTTTTTTTGTAGATTCTTCATGTTGAATCAAAGCTACACAGCAAGGCTGCATTTCTGGGAAGAAAAATAAACCCCCTCTCTTTTCTGTAGCTTGAACTCTTTCCTTTCTTTTCACTCTGTTTTTTTAAAGGGAGTAGTTAGTTCACCCAAAAATGTAAATTCTCTCATTATCTTCTCACCACTACGCCGATGGCGGTGGTGGGTGACGCGTTTGAGTCCACAAAACACTTCAGGAGTCTCAGGGGTAAATGGTGTTGCAGCCAAATCCAATACAGTTGAATTCAATTTCTAAAAACCTGATGTGAATGACGTCAATGACGTTTGAGTTGAATTGAAATGTCGGGGGTTCAGGACTCTGGGATGAAACCACACAAGTAGTTTGGAGCCTTTTTATGTTTTTTCGGTGTATTTTTTTTTTGCCATTGACTTCAACTGTATTGAATTTGGCCGCAACACCTGAAAGTCAAGTGTTTCGTGGACTCAAACACTTTCACCTCCATAGTGTTGAGGAGATGGTGAGTGAGTTTTCATTTTTTTCGATGAACAATCCCTTTAAGACACTTTTCTCTCCTCCTCACACCTCCAGTCTCTGTTCTAACCTCCCTCTCCTCCTCTCTTTCTGTCCCGACTCTCAGTCGTCCATGTCTCTGGGGTCGGAGGACCCCATGGGGAACAGCATGTCACTCTCTAAGGAGAGGTTGCTGCCCAGGCCGGCCATGCGGCTCCGCAGCAGGAAGTGTGTCCTCCTCTGCAGCAGCCTCTGCTGCTCCTGCTTCAGCTCCACGTAGGACCGCGAGAAGGTGTGGAAGATGGAGGTGACGGGGAAGGCCATGAGCAGGATCCCGCTCAGGATGCTGCTCAGAGCCACCACCTGCCCCGGGATGCTCCTCGGCACCATGTCCCCGTAGCCCACCGTCGTCATGGTGATGACAGCCCACCAGTAGGTGGCGGGGATGCTGGTGAACTCCTGCGTGGTGGCCATTTCGTTCTCAATCAAGTACAGCAAGGGGGAGTACAGTGCGATGGCCACGCACAGGAAGAGGAGGAGCAGTCCAAACTCCCGTGTGCAGCGGCGTGCTGTCAGGCCCAGAGTCTGCAGGCCCAGCGAGTGGCGAGCCAGCCTCATCACGTAGAGGATGCGCAGGGCCCTCAGGACACGCAGCACCAGGCCCACTTTGTCCAGGTAGCTGCTGCCTGAGCCCAGACGCTTCTCCCCTTTGGAGGTGCTGTCCACCAGCAGGGTGATGTAGTACGGCAGGATGGCCACCACGTCGATCAGGTTCAGCGGCTGCCGCAGGAAGGTCAGCTTGCTGCGATCTTGAATGAAGCGCAGGGTGAACTCCAGGGAGAACCAGGCCACGCACACCGTCTCCACGATGAAGATGTTGTAGCACATCTGGGAGCAGGTACCCTTGTGAGGGAAGGAGCAGAGTACGGGTGTAAGTGGTCACCGTAGTCACTAGAGGGAGCCACTCAAATGTGAAGCACTGTGGAAGGCTTACAAATATTTCTTTTTCAGCACAGAGACAATATTTGCACACAGATCAGGCCTGCACCCAAACAAATCTCCGTTATTATTATGCATGACGTGTCATTACTGCAAAAACATCCTCACTCATGTTTCCTTGCTTTTTTTGTGACTAATGTTTGAGGAGGTTTCTTATTCCACAGGAATGACTCTGATTCAAAGATTCAAAGCATCTCAAAGATCACAGCACGTGGCCCCGAGCCTTTGAGACCATGTCAGGGGGAAATATCTTGATATTCACGGTTACCAGTTACCAGATTTTGGTTTGTCCGTCTACAATGTCTGTACTCGACTTCCTGAAATTCTACAAGTTCAAGTGAAAAGCACGTCAACAGTGTCTCAGAAGTCTTGAAGCTGCTGTGGCAGTGACTCTGCATTTTCTTTCACCAAAGGAGAATCATTTCGCAAAAGCATCTAAAAGAAACTAATTAAAACCTTGTTTGCATTTTTACTAAGCAAGAAAATTAAGTGTGTGACTCAAATATTCCATTTTCCTCAGACGTGACGAGGCCAGGCTGCTAATTAGGGTTGTGATTGAACTCAGACATAAAAATGAAAGCATTTCACGAAGGCTGACTGAAATACCTCAAATATTTTCTAATCTGGCCAAACACCCGGTTCATGCTGCGTCTCTCTCTGCAGCCTTGTTTAAAATGACTTGACAGATGAGACGTGCCACGACGAGAATTTTAATAACTGCTTTTGAAAATAACACATCACTTCACCTCCATTTTGCTTTTGAACGCAGCTTAATTCAAAGCTGCTTCTGCAGCGGCACAGACTAATCCAATCTTTGCTCCATGTCGAGTTTAAAGGTTTGTAGTTTAGTCTCTTTATGTTGTTTGACGATTTGGAATAAGAAACACGAGATCACGTCCCAGCAGGAGTTTTAAATTTCCTTATCTGTTTGTCACGTTGTGTTCTCTTGTCCTGTGTTGATGCTACTTTAGATTTATCTCATTAGTGAGTCGCCCTCAAACACTTCTACAATCTACTGTCACTTCTTGTTGTTTTTATTAAGAGTCTATTGCGCCGAGTGAATTTAGAAAACTTTGTGTTCATTCTCCCTGGTTTATCTGCAGTTAGGATTTGATAGTCAATGGTTTTCATTAAATTAAAATTAATTTGTCATCGTCACAACCAAGTTCACAACTTTTCTAAATAAAAGCTCTGTGATTCCATTCGTTATTATGAAGCAACGAAAAAACATTGCGCTTTTACTGTGAAAACAAATCGCTAAAGAGGAAGTGAGTTTTATCTGGCAATTTACAATACACGTACCAAGTTTTAAAACATTAAGATGAACGGTTCCTAAGATATACGTTCCACATACAGACAAACATTTGTTTAATCGGTCGATGTTCAGTGTCACTCTACTCACCGCCTCCTCCTCCTCCCTCATGGCAGGCATGGTACTGATGGAGAGGTTGATGGCAGTGATGGTGACGAACAACACTGACAAACAAGCAAAGATCTTCCCCGGGAGGCCGGAGTGAGGCCTCTCCACCATGTCCCTCAGCTTGCCCATGCAGCGGCTGACTCTGGACTCTGCTGCGTCCTCCCTGTGGCCACTGTCTGAATCCAACAGATCCTCCAGGAGCTCCTCCTCCTCCTCCGCTCTCTCCATCGCCTCAAACTCCTCCACGCACTGCAGCAGACGCCGGCGACAGCACCACTCCAGGTTCTCCTCGGGCACCCCCCAGTAGAGCAGCTCCTCCCTGAAGGAGAGGGCGCACATGGCCCTGAGGGACCGCAGCTTACCCGCCCGCAGGAACGTCAGGATGGTGCGAAAGGCGCAGGGGCTGCGGTCGAAGAAGAACTCGTTGTGCGTGACGTCGTAGTCGTCGCAGATACGCATGATCTCGTCGAAGCTGCTGCAGAGGTGCAGCTGTCCCAGACGAGACAGGGGGAAGTCCTCCAAGGTGGTCCAGGGCAGCTGGTAACGCAGTCCACCCACATTGATGATGGCGTGGAGCTTACGGGTGCTGGACAGCGGGGTGTCGTCGTGGAACTCTGGAGCACGCTGGGCCCTCTTGTAGAAAGCTCCCTTCTGGGCCTCTGCCTCTTGTACGGGAGGTGGGTTGAGGGAGGTGTCGGAGGAACAGCTCAGGGCACTGTAGTCATAGTCAGAGCCATCGCCCGCCAACAGGGTCATCTTTACTGGTCCGCTCACATCCCTGAGCTCAAGCTAGCACCGGCACACTCCGACCCTCAGAGAGGAGACACAGAGAGGACAGGGTGAGACACTTCAATTCAAACACACGCAACTGTAGCTGAGGCTCGTTTCAATGGAGTCAAGTACACAAAATATTATCGTATGAACAAACTGCAGTGAAGAAATGAAACCACGTCACACTGATGACATTTAGAAAACGTTCAGATACGGGAAGTCTGGTTTTTTGCCCCTGGGTTGTGGTTTGTATTCATTCTGATTCTCCTGGTTTTGTCCGAGTGTGTATCTGGGACACCGGTGGCAGATTGTTGAGTTCTCCTCGTTTACTACGAAACAGTTTTTCAACTTCTCCTCTTGGAGCGTCTGAATTTGTATTCTTGCTTATAAATAAAATGTGTTTCTTGCTTCAAGATCCGGTCCGGCGGCCGTCAGGAGCCTGAGGCTTCTTTTACCACAGAGTGAGCGACACCACAGTGCAGCGTTATAGCAGCGGGAGGCACTTACAGCACATTGATTTTCATTATCTCCTGTCTTTATGTGAAGCCCGATGTAAAAGGAATCATTAAGGAAATACGAGTTATAAATGTACTAATGTAAAACTTGAATCATCTAGAATGTCAGAGAGCAGACTCCTCCTCCAAGGCCCCACAGTCTCCTGATGAGACCACGTCCACATCCGCTAGATCCAGATTTTTATTTGGGTCTGCACCAAATGACAACACACTCATTAATATCACTCTGCTAAACATGATTCTCTGAGAAATCAATGGAAAAGTTGAAAAACGTTGTTGGAGAAAGTGAAAACATCTTCACATCGAGTTCCTGCAGAAAACAAGTACTGAATTAATTACCATGAAACTTGGTGAGAGGATGTGGAATGATTCAGGGAGGAACACATTCAACTTGGGATTTATCTATTTATTTATTTATTTATTACTTTCTTCGACATTGTGAGATTTTTTGACAGTTTCATCAATGTCCCCGGGAATAATCTATGGATCTGGATTTAAAAAAAAAAAATCAGGAGACGGATATCAAAGAATGCTCAGTTTTGCGAGCTGCTATCACAATTAGAGATTGATGAGGTGCAGGGAGAAGGCAGAGGTGACAGACGATCCCAAGAGTCAGCAACATCAAGCAGAAGGATCAAGAGGAGAAGTCGTCTCTTTCATCAATGTCCCAGGGAATAATTTATGGATCTAGATGAAACCACCCCCCCCCTCGGAACATTTAGGGGACTGATATCTAAGAGTGTGGACAGATGAATGTAAGGGGACTGCTGGGCCTTAGCGGAGGTGTGCGCTCTACTGAATGTCAATCTTATCGTTGGTTGTGGAGCCGTCAACTGTGAAGAACTTACAACCGATACACATTTGATGTAAAAATCCAAATGCAGTTCACAAACTTCGCTGGTTGTTTGACGCTGAGTGAGTGAGGAACACTTCATGTACAGCAAAAAGCAAAAGAAGACACAAAGACAATTTGTCTTTACTTACTTTCGCCTTGAAGACATCTCGTGCCTTTGAGCTACAGCCTTCCTTGGCGCCTGGAGGTTAATGGCTGCATTAACGCAGCACTTTTCTTTTCACCTCAACCACTCAGAGTGCTTTTACACCACAAGTCCCATTCACCCCGTCACAGCACACGTGGGTCAGTGCCTCTCCATCGATTACATACCATGACCAGGGAACGGTTCGTCCGTACGGATCTGTTCTTGATGCATTTAGCGTTACACGCATGTCACATGCACACAATCGCTGCACTGTGTGAATAACGTCACAAGACACAAACTGGGACTAAAGTGAGAGGAAACTGTGGTGAACGTTTTCCAAACTACAGTCCACTTACACATCTAACAAAGAATATATGAGTGTCCCCTTCACAAATCTCTAATCATTAGATCCAGTTCTTCTCTTGGTCCACATGTATGATGGTGTCCAGGCAGGACAAGTCCCCATACGTCACGACTGTAGCTCCATAATTAGTGTCCTGACTGGGGAGGGGCATCGATCTGCTCATCCTGGTCTTGGCCCGTGAACCAAAGATGGTTCTTTAAAATGTCACACTTGAAAAACCTCCCAGGGTTCGGACCCCCGGCTCCAAAGAGAGATGTAACTCTGTGGTAAGTGTAAATCAGAAAGTTGTAAATATAATTCCAATCTTTACAGAAAGCAGTGAGGGGAAATCACATCAAGCTTCTCTGTCGACTACATTTCTCCACAAGCTGCGGTAGAAGAGCAGCAGGCCTGTGTGCGTTATCTGAGCAGTATGAATATGTCATTTACGCCTCATTAAACCTGGTAACTGATCTATAGATACATCGGGTAACGAGAGATAACAGCTTCCCCTCCCGCAGAGTGTGTGGACATCTGTTCACCGCAGAAGACTGGGAATCATAACTCATCCCCTCATGCTACTGTTCTGGACTGTTTTGATCTCTCTCACTGGTTGGACTGGATTTGAAATATAATGATTCCAGTCGTTGTTAGACGAGGTGTGTGTCAGTCACACTGTTTGTTTCACTGAGAGCAAACACACCGACCACAATATCTCCACTGTTTGTTCTCAGCAGGGAATTCTGTTTCAAGCTAAACTGGATGGAGGGATGGAGAGAGAGAGAGAAAGAGACAGATAGAGA